TCTCAGGATTACTCCTGGGGGAGGACAGATGGGTGTCTGCAGGTCAATCACCACCTAAGGATAGCTCACCATTTCCTGCTTTCGTTTTAGTGAACCACAGGGTCTGTGCTTCTAGTGCAGGTTCTCCAGTGTCAGCCTGGGATGACACCTTATAGTCCAACTTGGCCTTCAGCACTCAGCTTAAGAAGTACCTCCTCCAGGAGGCCTGCCATGACTGCCTTTCTGTGCTCACAGTCTCCTCCTTTAAGATGTAATGCACCACTCTGTTGTGCTCTTGCCTCCTCTTCCTCCCTGCACGCAGTAGCCTGCAAGGATGGAGACCCCCTTCGACTCATATAGGGGCAGGCTCAGAGAGGGTGCTCAGGAAATGTTTGTTGATTGACTGTATGAAACACATGACAGAATAGATGCATGGAAGGATGAATGGGTGAATGAATGCAAGGTGTTTCCCCAATGTCAATGATATAAGGCTGTTTGTGTGACAACAAAGATGCTGTCTCTTTAAAGACCATGTGAAAGGACAGGAGGCTGACATGGAAGCAAAGCTCAGAAATACAAGTGGAGCCATTAGTCCATTCTTGGAGGGGTCTAGGAGATATTTGTACCAGGAAGAAACCCTGTCCAGAACTTCTCTTCCCCTACTTCCCTCCCCCCCACTCTCAACCCCAGACCCAAGCCCCGCTAGGGAGCCCTGGGCCGAGCTGACCGCAGCAGCTGGGGATGTGGCTCGCGGCTCACTAGGGGGCACTCTTCCATCACACCGGCCCTGCCTCAGCACTAACGCTGCCCTGCGCTCTTTCCCACAAGGCCTGCAAACTCAGGGTTCTTCCCACATTCCCTGCAGCCTTTTGCTGAGGATATTTCCAGGCAGCAGTGGCATGAGCATCAAATCAGTACCCACTTCGTACAAGGTACCTTTGCAGAAAAGGCATATGTCTGGGGTTAAGTTGACGTTTCAAAATGGTCTTCCTTTATGCACTGGACTCAACATGCCCGTTCTTAGATCCCCACTCCATTCCTTCCTCAGCCTGAGGGCTGCCCAGACAAAAGTAAACTGTGGGGTGCGCTCCTGCAGTTTATCTGTTGGTTTGCCAGTAGCCATTGGACAATTCCCATGCAGGACTGGGAATTGTGGAGGTTCTGGGCAGCCACAGACCCCAGAGAAGGAGGAGGAAGTAGGAGCAGTGTTCAGAGCTCCCTCCCCATTTGCAGGAAGCATCTCAGGCCTGGGCACCAGGTGCAGAGTGCCACAGAGGAAGGCCAGGGGCTCAAGGACTGTGTGCAGTTTGGAAAGTTAAGTCTCCTTCATTTTTTAGGACAGCACCCTCTTAGCTAAACTATTATGGGGCCTCATTTCACAAATGCTCCAATTTTGGAGGATTTAATCCCCAAAGACACAGACCCCGTGAGGCCACCTGTGCCTGATAGCACCAGGCCTGGTGCATGGGAGTGAAAGGGACAGGGAGCAGTGGTGGAAGAAGAGGGCTTGGGGGATAAAACCTAGAGGCAGTGATGGAGGGAGGGGTGGAGAAGGGCTGAAGAGAGGGCAGGGGTCTGCAGACGGACAAAGAGAAAAAGGCCTTCACTTGGCTCTTCAATTCTGCTCTTGGAACTAGAGCATTGGAACATCCATCCCAGTGTTCAGGCTCTTCCTGTGGATTTGCTTCCTGCCCCAGATTCTAGTAGGCTTCCTGTTCCCATAACCTGTCCAAGGGAGTGTTCGGGGGAGCTGGAAGAGGGAATTTCACAGCTAGCAGTCTGCTTTTGATGTTGCCATCTGTGCACGGAGCCTCTCCTCCACTAATCAATTCGGGAAGTAAGGAGGACCATTCCCTTCCCAGCTCCCTGGGAGGGGGCTGCTAGGGCTCCACTAAGAACTTGTCTTTGTCTTCTGGTTGAGTGCAGCAGAATACAGCTGCAGGGCCAGACTGAGGCCACAGACCAGGCACAGACCCAGACTCAGGCTAAGGAGGGGCAGGGTGTGGGTACCTAGATCCCTTGCAAAGCATGAAGCACGGTACACACCTATGATGCCGCCACACCCCTGGGAACTGCACTCTTTAGAGCAAAGGCCTCTAACCTGGCTTACTCTGAGAACTGGGTCACCTCTGCATCTTTCCTGGGTAGGATTCCTGACCCAGCCAGCCACACTTTCATCTGGGAAGAATCATAACCCATGGTGGGGGAAGGGAGACAAGACACACCTGGAGAGGGGACAAAGCAGACCAAGAGAGACAAAGGTGGGAGGAAGAAAGCCTTGGCTCACTAGGGAAGTAGAAGATTCATATGCAAACAGGTTGGCCAGCCCAGCGCCCCCCTGTGCACACTTGCCTCTGGCACATCTGAGCTGTGGTCACCCTCTCACCCAACCACCCTGCACTGCCACGTGTGGCTGCCAGCTCAGGCAGGCTCCACTGAGGCTCCTGGCCTGGCCCTGCCTGGGAGGTCCTGCCCTCTGTCCTTGCAGGGAGGAGAAGAATAGAAAAAGAAGAAAAGTATGTGCAAATTTCCCATCTGGGTTTCAGCATCCCTTTCCTCCTTCTGTCCCTTTGGGACTCACAGGTAAGCAATCACAGGGGCCTGTTTTGATCTGCAGCAGGCCTGCCTACTCCAAGATGCACCTCCTTGACCCCACCTTGAACTGGCCCCTTTCTGCAACCATCTCAGGAATGTTTGTCAAGCTTTTTGTCAGGTGTCCCTCCAAATGCTCCTGAAAGACAGGACTATCTCATGTGGCCTTTCCCCTGATTTCGCAACCTCAGAGTGCACATGCCCACACCCACTCTCATACCTCCACCAAGTGTTTCCAAGAAGAACGCTGACCATAAGGTAAGGCTACCTGGGGACCTCTTCCTTTACATTTCTAAAATTCCTACCTACTCTGTCTAGTTAGCACAGTAGTATACGAGCCATAGCTTCTTTTCGTGAGGTGGTCCTTGGATGGCCACATATCCCTTAGCTTGTCACACATAATCCATTTCCTCATTTGTCTCAGATCCAATCACTATTTGAAATGCAATATTTGGCTTCCAAGTAAACCACATGCACACACACACTTTCTGGAAGAGCTTTATTAAAAATTAACAACGTATCAATTCATAAGGAAGACCTAAAAAAAATAAAATAAAATAAAAATTAACAACGTCTCTGGCTATTGAGCTTGCGAAGTTTCCTTGTCCCTGGTTCCCTTCAGTGAATTTGGTAATTGCAAACTCCATGCTGCTGGAGGGTGGGGAAGACCCAGCAGGGGTAGAAATCAGCCCTAACTCTCCAGGTGGACAAAGCTGTTGAGGGGTGACCTGTTGAGGGGCACTGTGTGGTCAGGCTCAGCAATGGCATAGAGCTGGGGGGGGGTGGTCAGAGCAGGCTTTCTGAAGAAGGGCTTTTCACTGTCACAGCCTAGTGGGAAGGTAGGGGAGACAGGGTCCTGGGGGCAGAGGAAAAGTTTCCATGCAGAGGAGGAACAACTGCAGGAGCCACAGAAGTAGGTGCAAGGGAGAGCCCTAGGCTGTCAGAGGTGTAGGGGAAGGGGAAGAAGAGACCTGAACAGGAAGAAGGCAGGTGGAGAGAGGGGGGCTCCCAGAGACTGCTCTGTTCATCTAGGGACCCCAGATCTGATGGCCACAAGAGGGGCTTCGAGAATGAGAAACCGAGCAGTGTAGCGGTTACCTGTCTCTCTCTGTGTGACTGTGGGAAAGCTACTTAACCTCTCCGAGCCTCGGTTTCTCTATTTATAACACCGGGATGATAGACCTCCCTTGAAGAGTGACTGGGAGCGCTGAATCGGATGACTGGGCGAAAAGCGGGTGATGGCACACCGCGCGTTCTGCGTAAAGGGGCGCCGATTACTACCTTGGGGAAGGGTTGGACAGAGCGCCTGGCGGCGGGTGATTCAGTCTGGCAGGTGGGTCAAATTTCCCAGATATTTCAACCCAGATTCACAGTTCCTGTGGAGACACGTCGTAAATGAGTTGGTGAAGGTGTTTGTAAACAAAAGTGCAATTCATAGGTTGCCGCAAGGAGTGAAAGCAGTGGGGGTTAGGGGAGGGGCTCGGTGGCTGGAACCAGAGTTACCTCTTCGCCCCGGGCACTGTCTAAGCAGAGCGGATATGGACTTCTTTGCAGTCCTCCCCCACCCCTCTTAGTCCCCCCGCAAAACACCCCGCTGGAGCCCCCTCCCGCAGCGAACTGCGGGACACGCGATGTACGTCCCTTGTCGTCTCGCGGTCGGGTTTAGGGATGAAGGGCGAGAGCGAGGCGGGGACGGGAGTGGAGGCGGTAATGGGCCCCAGCAGCTCCAGCAGCAAAGCGGGGCGGAGTGGGGGGCACAGCGCGGCCTCGAGGGCGCTGGGCGCCGGAGAACGGAGCTCAGCGGCCAGCCGGGCGCCCGGCCGCAGCGCCGCCTCCCCGGAGGAAGGCGGGGGCCGGGGGGGAGGGAGCGGGAGGAGGCGGAGGGCGGAGGGCGGAGGAGGGCGGCGCGCAGAGAGGTTATTTGTGGTTCGCTTTGATCCGGAGGGGGAACCTGAAACTCTCACATTCCTGGCATAGCAGCCGCCTCCGGCGCGGGCCGACCCTGGGGCTGCGCGCTGGGGCGCGAACGGCCAGAGCGTCGGCGCCACCGACAAGAGCACATCTCCGCCACGGAGCTGAGCCGAGCCGAGCCGGGCCGTGTCGTCGGAGCCGACTGCGCCGGGCACCCGCGGGCCTCAGCGGTAAGGAAGGCCGCTTGGCGCTCCGGAGCGCGCGCGAGGCCGGCATAGACGTGCCCCAGCCGAAGCCCGGGTCTCGGCTCGGCGCGGCGCGGCCCGGCCTTTTCCGGGAGTCGGAGCCCAGGGGACCGAACGTCCTCAGGGAGCACTTTCGAGCAGCCGCAGTGCTGGGCAGGGGCCGCTCCGCCTGGGGGGCCCCCGCGCCGTGCGCTTTGGGAGGCTCTCGAGGGCTCGTGGGTCCCCTGGGGCTGGGAGAGGGGCGGACTTGGGAAAGAGCAGGGTCTGTGTTTGGGGTTGCGGTTCGAGCCGGGGGTAGGGGGTAGTGGTCGCGCGGAACAGATCTGCAGGCGCCCCTCGGAGCTCCAGCTGCAGGGCCGTGGCGGCTGATTTGGTTAGGTGGGGGTTACAGGTGTCTTTACCCCCAACTAGCCCAAGAATTCCTCTTTGTCTTCCTTGGAAAATCCTCTCTGGAGCCACGAATTGGCTCTCACTTAGAAAGAATGCAGCCTGCTGTCCAGCCCGGTGACGTCAGCGCTGGAGTATTTGGAAAACAAAGAGGGCTCGGAGGGACGGAGGGAGGCGGACCCGCGACGCTTAAAGACCTCTCCCGGCCTCGGGCTACCCTCACCGGCTCGCCCCGGGCGCACCGCCGGCCACGGGTGCTCGTAATAGGGCGGGAGCCCTGGCCGGGTGCGATCTGCCTTAGAGGCTGGCGGTGCTTCCTTGGGCGAGTGGGAGCCCAGGCAAAGGCCACGATGTGTGCTTGGCTAGGAAAGCGGCTTTGAGAGCGCAGCGCGCTAGCGCAGCAGAAGGGCACGGCCGCGGTCGGAGAAGCAGATTTCAGTAACGGCTCAGCCCTTTGGTATCTGAAAGGACGTGCATCTGAGGGACTTCCCAGGGACAGATTCGTGGTGAGAGGCCTCGGACGTGTTCTTTGCTCCCAGTGCAGGCACACTGTTGGCGCGCTTGGAATCTGTCAGGAAGGCTGTGTGCATTCCTTCTTGCCGCTCCCCTGTCCTACCCTGCGGGAGTCAGCCCTGACAGGGATTAATTTAGGAAACGCCTGCAGGTGAAACTTCAGGGCGAACTGACTCTTGTTTGCTCGTCTTGCTTCTGGTAACGCTGGAGTCTTGCACTTCTACTGCTTATTGGGGAGAGGGGGTTGGTTGGGGGCCAGAAGCGTGGGTACAGAGTTGCTCTCCACACTCATCCCATACTCCCCAGGCCTGGGCACCTGGAATCCTGTGGGGAGAGAGTGGATTGGGAATGGCTGCTCTGCCAACGTGCAGAGCCCAAACTGAGGCAGGGCACTGGGGCTAGTGTTGTGGCAGAGGAGGGCCACATTCCTCCCACTACCACCCCACCCCCCATACACAGGGGACCCTGACAGTGTGGATTTTGTTTGATTTTCCCTGAATCCCACTTAGAAGTTTGTGTTGGAGGAGGCTGTGGAAAGGAAGCTGGGTGAGGGAGGTGGGCAGCCTTCCAGGCCATGAGCTACCGGGAGCCTGGGCTTAGAAGGGAACACCTTCCTTAGATATTATCTTCCTGTGCTTTAGGTCCATAGCCTCCAGCCCCAGGTCCTTGCAACCAAGAGCCTCCCCCTTTCCCTCTTACTCCTCCAGTTGGCCCAAGTCAAGATGGGCTTTCTTGATGCTGACGTCAAGAAAGATGCTGAGTGCCCATCTCCTGTGTGCCTACAGGACAAAGTAGCAAGTGTGTGTGTGCAGGGAGAGATAATCAGAAAATCAAAGATGTCATGCCATCCTTTCTTTTTCCTGGAGCTCCTGTGCAGTTACTGTCATGCAGAGACTGGATGATAGACCCAGTAACCTTAGCGGGTAGCAATTGTTTGCCTCATCTCACAAAACCATTGTCCTATTATAGCCTTTCTTTTTTTATCCCTATTCACCAATTCAGGTGCAATTCCTTCTTCTTCCCCTTCACCTTGCAGAATGACTACCAAGGTCATCCCATGACAGGGAGCCTCAGAGTCATTCTATCAGCAGCCCTGGTGAAGCAGAGCCCTGGCCTGTCTTCCAGGAGCTCTTGTTCAAGGAGAGAGAAGCAGGCGGTGGGCTCAGCAGGGTAGAGGGTGGTAGGTTGATTGTGCCAAGGCCAGACTTGAGCATGCTTCATTCTTCAAATGGTCCTGGGCGCTGTTTGCCTAGGGCTCCTATTGGGCTATGTTTATTCTTTATCACCTGCCAATAAACTGGGGTCTGTCCACCCCTGGACTAGATAGCTAAGTGGTTAGATCTGAATTAGGCCTACTCTGCAGTCACTATCAGTTGTGTGATAGGTGGCTCACTGCAGGGGGCCATGGTTCCTCCTGGTAGGTTGCCTTCTGGTTTGCTGTTATCTTTCTTCAGGCATAGTTAAGTCTCCATGAATATCATTATAATGGTAATCGCTTGCCAAGGATTTACCTCCAGCACAAGAGCACTGCCTTTTTTAATTCTCAATTCCATGAGGCAGGCAGTATTCTCTGTATTTTTCTGCTGGAGAAACAGAGGTAGCTAACCTGCCTTAATCAGTAGGTAGCAACATGGGCACTTGCACAAACTCAGGCCTGTGTGAACCGCCAGCCTTGCCCTTCACCCTCATGCTTTCAACCAGACTGCAATAATAGAAAGTCCTCCTTTTCCCATGGGCTCCTGCTGATTGCTCCTCTCTCTCTTTCTCTTGCCAGGTGCTCTGGGGCCAGGTGCCACTGGCCATTGTCCAGGCAGGTGTGTGCAAGCCAAACAAGCATGAGGACGCTGGAAGACTCCTCGGGGACAGTCCTGCACCGCCTCATCCAGGAGCAGCTGCGCTATGGCAACCTGACCGAGACGCGCACACTGCTGGCCATCCAGCAGCAGGCCCTGCGTGGTGGGGCTGGAGCTGGGGGCACAGGGAGCCCCCAGGCCTCCCTGGAGATCCTGGCACCTGAGGACAGTCAGGTGCTGCAACAGGCTACGAGGCAAGAGCCCCAGGGCCAGGAGCACCAGGGCGGTGAGCCCCACCTGGCAGAGAACACCCTCTACCGGCTATGCCCACAGCCCAGCAAGGGCGAGGAGCTGCCCACCTATGAGGAGGCCAAAGCCCACTCACAGTACTATGCAGCCCAGCAGGCCGGGCCGCGGCCACACGCGGGGGACCGGGATCCTCGAGGAGCCCAGGGAGGCAGTCGGCGACAGGATGAGGCTCTGCGGGAGCTGAGGCACGGGCATGTGCGCTCCCTGAGTGAACGGCTCATGCAGCTGTCCCTGGAGAGGAACGGAGCCCGGGCCCCCAGCCACATGAGCGCCTCCCACAGCTTCCCGCAGCTGGCCCGAAGCCAGCAGGGACCCCCACCCAGGGGCCCCCCTGCTGAGGGCCCAGAGCCCCGTGGGCCCCCACCCCAGTACCCACACGTCGTGCTAGCTCATGAGACCACCACTGCCGTCGCTGACCCGAGGTACCGTGTCCACGGCAGCCCACATTTCCAGCATGCTGAAGTCAGGTAACCACCCCCGCCTTGGTCTTTCACACTGTTGCCTTTCTCCCAGTGCAGATCGCGCCTTGTGTCAGAACTGGCAAGATGCCCACCCCACCCCCAGCAGCTCCAGAGGCTGCCTGATCTAACCCCTCCTTCCTGAGAAGGGAGAGCTGATGCCTGGAGGAGAGAGGGGCTTAGCCAAAGTCACGTCAGAAGTCAGTGGCACCTCTTGCCTTCATTCAGAGATCGGTGCCATTGTCTGTAGCTGTAGCATTCTAGTAAGTAGGGCTCCCAGAGGATATGAATTGTAGCAGGGGGTTAAAGATTAGATTTCAGAAAGAACTTTCTAAAGACAAGGATGGGAATCATTGCCAAACTGTTTCTAAGTTAAGTAGTAAGAAGGTGGGACCTCCTTCTCTGGAGGTTATTTTTTTTTTTTTCAAGAAAAATTGGACAGCTTGCTTTCTATTAATTGGGATGCATTCCTAACGGGAGGCCAGAAGGACCAAGTGGCCTCCTTAGAGACCTCTCTCCATCCTACACCAGGGAGGAGCTGCCCTGTCCCTACTGTTCACTTCCTTTCGTGTTTTTCTGTGTGCTCCATGTGCCTGCAGCCATAGTAGGAGAAGATTCTGGGTCCCAGTGGGCCCCTTTCTGTGGACTGCTGGACCCAGGGTGAGGACTTGGAGTTTGATTCTGAGTGTGAAGGGAACCCTTAGAGGATACAATTTGATTTACCTTTTTAAAAGGTCTCTGTGGCTATATGTACAATATGGATTATGAGGGGCCAGAATGAAAGCGGGAGGCTAGAGGGAGTTGAAAAGCCCAGATAGTTTGCAGAAATACAGGTTCCTAGAAATTGAGGCTCTGCCTCAGGCTTCTCACCTGGCCCAGCCCCCTCCCCAGAGAAGCTGATGCAGCCTCATTGCTGCATCTGGCCCCAGGGGAGTCCACAAAACCTCACTAGAGGTGCCCAGAGAAGTTTAGCCTCTTCCTCAGGCTGCCCAAGGTCACAGTCTGGCTCTCGTTGTGCCTGCTGAGTATGCATTTAGTTGCCCACTTTCCCACCATTCCACCTGTCCTAGGAAAGATGCCTTTCCCTTGCTTTCGAGAAATGGGTGACGTGATGGCGTTGGTATGGAGGAACCAGAGGATGGAGCCTCATGGTTTTTCTCCAGCCTCCACTCCCTCCAAATTCCCACCTTATCTTCCTTCTCAGAGCTTGGTCAGGAAGACTTTCGGAAGCTGAGTCGTGGTTTCTTCTTTTGGACTAGCCTTATTGAACCCTGTCAGGAAAAGATAATAATTGTGGCAAGGAAGTAGCCCCAAGGAGAACAAAAGGCTGGGGGGCAGTGGGGGAGGGGGGAAGGGAAAGCAAGTGTGAAGGGAAAGGAGCCACTATTCTTTCTTGGAGCTAAGTCATCCCCAAAGAATGCCAGTTGTGTCTGCCTGGCCCGGTGCAATGGGGGGAGCAAGTTCTCGAAGCAACCCTGAGAATGGCCACATTTAGCAGTGAAGGGAGAGTTTGGACACTCCCTACCTCAGGTAGCAGAAGTATACCTGCCCAGCCTGTGCTTTTGGCTGATCAGATAAAGATTGTCTGTCAGGAGTTAGGGGCAGGAACTTTCCCTTTAGCCTGAGAAGACCAGGGGAGCCATAGGCGTTAGGGCCAGAGGGGCAGGTGGGTGGGAGTGCTGAGCTGATGGGCCCAGAAGTGGAATTAAGTTTTTATGGGCCTTCTGGGGCTTTGAAAATCCTTTGCGAAACTGAAGAGTTGTGACTCTGGGAGTCACAAGGCCCCAGAAAGGCCCCTGGACTCCCTGTGCCTCTTGCTCTTCGTGCCTTCCCTCAACACGGCCCCAAGGGTGATGTTACCCCAGGGCCAGAGGCCAGCAGAGCATGGTCCCCTGAGCTCAGCTACTGCAGTAGGCCAGAGGCAGCCCCTACTCCCGGGAAAATCCAGCATTTGGGTCACATTTATGCTTTAACTGAGTGAGCTGAGGTCCCTACCAGGATTAGAGGACAGGCTGCTGTTCTGGAGCACCTGCCACCTGCCCAGCATTCTGCAGGCCTTGCATGGTGCCGTCTCACAAGCTCCCCCCACCCCCCCCACCCACCCACCCCCCGCCGCCGTGAGACTGGACACCCTCTGATGTAGCAAAGGAATCCCGACCCGGCCGAGGCACTTGCTGAGGTCAAACAGCTGGAGTCAGGATTGGAACCTCTGTTTGTGAGACGTTGGAGCTCAGATGCTTACCCTGACATCTGTCTCACTGCTCTACCTTAACTGGAATCTTCTAAAAATGATTCCGAGGGGGACGGTAGCACCTGGAATAGTCGAGAGAACCCCTGAGTGTGCTGCTTTGGCAGTCCTGAAACCAGCGGCTCATAACAGACACTGGGTAGGTAGCTGCTGGGGCCCAGCCACCGAGTGGCCTTGGGGGCCTAGAAGGCTAAGTGCTCTAGTCATGACAGATGCCTTGCCTTGATTAGAAGTGTCAGGTTGCATTTTTTAAAGATGCCTTATTTAAGCATTAGTCACGTAGGAGGCCCAGGAGTGCTCAGGCTGATCCCCAAGCCCTGGCCACAGTAAGGCTGGGCAAGAAGGAAGTGTCCCAACATGAATCCTCGTGGCCCTGCTGTCCGGCCCTGGGGTGTCTGAGACAGACACCACTGAGCCCTGCCCAACACACAGTGAGGCTGAGTAATTATCAGCAGTAATGTGAACAATTTATTAATTAGGAATAATGGTAATTACTTGTCTTCCCAGCATGCCCGGGAGGCTGCTCTGGGGTAGGAGCTGTGTGGTCTCTGAGCACTGTCTCTTCTGTTCCCCAGGATCCTGCAGGCCCAGGTGCCTCCTGTGTTCCTCCAGCAGCCGCAGCACTACCAGTACCTGCAACAGCCCCAGGAGCACCCCCCAGCCCCACATCCAGCTGCTCACAGCCATGGCGCCCTGGGCACCCTTGGTCCACCTGGTGTGGAAGGGCCAGCGAGCGCCCAGGCCTCCTCAGCCACCTCGAGCAGTGGCCACCTGGCCCAGATGGAGACTGTGCTGAGGGAGAATGCCCGGCTGCAGAGGGACAATGAGAGGCTGCAGAGGGAGCTGGAGAGCTCAGCAGAGAAGGCCAGCCGTATTGAGAAGGTAGGCCCTGCTGGGCACAGAGGGACAGCAGGGGAGGGACCGCAAGGGGTGACTGGGGAGTGGGCAGTCTAAGGGAAGGCAGAGGAGCCTGAAAGTCTGTGTCTGGCTGCATTTCTCCCCCAACGCTGCTCACCACCTCCCTCACCCCTCATGTACTCTCTGAAGCTGACTCCAGACAGCTGGGGACCAGCCGAGAGGAGGCAGAGCAGGCCTGGAGCATGAGCAGTTGCTGCCAGTGGTGATTAGAAAGAGCCCATTCACCAGCTCGCTGCACACTCGCGCCCTGGCCCTGCACACACCCCCTCCCTTGGACACCTCCCACAGAGAGCCCTTTGTGTGCTCCACACAACAGCGAGTCTGTTCCAGGCCAGCCCTGGCCAAAGAGAAAGCCCCTCCTCTTGGAAAAAACCGAGCGACTTGTTGGAATTGCAGGCCAGTTAGGAGCACGTGCAGAACCTGCTGGCAGCCAAGTGGGAGGGGCAGCCAGGGCCGGGCTGGCCCTCTGGGTGGATGACCACGGTTAGGAGCAGATCCAGGCAGTGCAGCTCAGGCTTGGGTCCGGGGCCCCCTTCTTGAGTAAAGGTTTACGAGTCAGTGCTAAGGTTCAGCTTTAGCAGATGCCAGGCCTCCCGTGACTGTCCTGTGGTGTCCAAGAGTGGTCAGACCACCCAGAATGTGGCTGGAGTCTTTTGTGCCCACTCCAGGCCCACTGTGCTCAGATTTCTTAACAGAAGCCAGCTAGAAGTAAAATGCTTCTTTCTGGATGTTGAGCATAGGAGAGCTGTGTTTAGTCACCCTGCAGGCAGCCTCTTCCAGAGTGCTTGGCCCTGGGCTCACTCAGCTCAGATCCTTGGGGCAGCTACTGGGACCCTTGCTTACTGGTCCCAGCAGTCTGGTCCATCTCGGGGCTGCATGCTTCTGACTGTCCCACCGAAGCCACCTAGATCGTTTGCTCCTGCTTTGCATCCTTCTGTCTAGCCCCTTTGCTGATGGAGAGTAGCAGGTCAGCCCGCGGCACTCCCTGGGAGCCCTGCTCTTCCTTCAGCTCTGCTGTCTGCCTCTTACAGCTGGAAAGTGAAATCCAGCGGCTCTCTGAGGCCCACGAGAGCCTGACAAGAGCCTCTTCCAAGCGAGAGGCCCTGGAGAAGACCATGCGGAACAAGATGGACAGCGAAATGAGGAGGTTGCAGGACTTCAACCGGGATCTTAGAGGTGAGAGCTGGCCACATAAGGGGAGGGTTGGGGAGCCTCTGCAGAGTGCTTGGGTCCTCTATTCTAGGGGAAATTCAGAAAATCTGTTCTCTGCAGAAATAATATGAATTGACTCAGGGGGTCAGGCTGAGATTCCTTGGGAGTCTCCCTGAGAGAGATGCTTGTCCCTGTGTTCTGGTCCTTGGATCCCCTCGTGGAGCTCCCCAGATGGCCCAGATGGAGTCGGGCTCCCCTCTGAGCCCATCCCCAGTGTGGAGGATGCAGCCCCACAGATAGGACCTCAAGGAAAACCCCTGAAGGCAGCTTCCCCTGGCACTAAAACATCTTTCTTTCATTTGAAACAGAGAGATTGGAATCTGCAAACCGCCGCCTGGCAAGTAAGACACAGGAGGCCCAGGCGGGCAGTCAGGACATGGTGGCCAAGCTGCTTGCTCAGAGTGAGTAGGGGGCCCACTAAGAATCCTGGCCAGGTGTGCAGACAGTAGGACCACTGCAGCCCCTCCAGGCAGGGAGGACCAGGCCTCCTTGCAGAGGTGTACTTTGGGCAGAGGTTTATAGAGTACCTACCATAAGCCCAACACTAGACTAATCTGGGGTGGGTGGGGTGGCATGGCTTCCAAAGAAGAATAGGTCTATATTTATTGGGAAGATCAACTGATGCCCACGGGGAAGCTGGGGGGTGGGACTCTGCTGAGCCGCGGTGCCGCCCATCATGCAGTGCAGGTCAGTGCACCAGGCAGTGGGGATGCAGATTAGCCCTGGAGACGAGTGGGGTGAAGAAGGAGGAGTCTGGGCGTTTCCCAGGGAGTCGGCTGGAGGGTGCCCAGTGGGAATGTGGGAAGCTGCCGGGCATGGTGAAGCTGGGCCATAACAAGGCAGCTACTTAAAGGCACTGAGACAGCCAAAAATATGCTCCCAGAGCTTAACCTTTGGGAAATTCCTAAAGAGCTTCTCTCTAAAGGGGTTGGTCTAAGCATCCTTGAAGGGTGGATGAGTTCACGGACTAGTCCATTCATTTGTTCATTTATTTGTTCATTAGCAGAATTGTGCTGAGCACCTGGGAGGTATTAAGCAGAGGGTGGCAGCAGGCCCAGGAAGGTGCCACAACAGGGAGGCCCAGAGAGAGGGTGAGCTTCAGGAAGGAGCAAGTTCCCACAGATGCAACAGAACAGGGTATTCTTGGTCCTGGAGACTGGTGATTAGGAGGTTCCTGGTGACCTGAGAGAGGCTCTTTGGGGATGGCAGGGGTGGAGAGTATGCCAGGGGTGAAGGAGCAATTGGAGACACATGGAGTTGTGAGCCGGCAGCAAAGGGGTCCCTGCGCTCAGGAAGCAGCAGGAAGAGGCACTAGAAATCAGAAGAGACAGAGTAATTATTTATTGAGCTCCTATTGTATGGGTCTGCTGTGAGCTATTGCATGTTCAGGGTATTTGCAGAGAAGTGGAATGGGAGTGGTTGGTGTCTGGGTAAAGGTAGCTTTGAGGAAGGAGGGGATCGAGGGAACCAACCTTGAGTGGCACAGATGGCATGGGGTGTCCAGAAGTGGAGGAGCAGCTTGAGAACTGAGCTCTGGCTGGCAGCACCCCTGTCTTCCTTCAAGGAGGGTTGGAAGCCCAGGGGAGGGAATGGGGGGCAGCACTGAGGGGACAGAAGTGGTGTGGCAGGAGGTAGGCTAGGCTGTCCTGGCTGGTCTCTGGGAGGGAGGTGATGGGAGGGAGCCAGAAAGGTGAGGGGGCACCCCTGGGGTGCCCTTGGGAGTCTGGGGAGAAAGATTTGCTGGGGGAGGAAAATTGAGGGATCCTGTGGAACAGGGTGGACTTTTGAGGCCCGGTTCTGCCAAAGAAAGGAAGTCAGTCATGGGCGGGTTTCTGGGAGCCTGCAAGGGGGTGTGGGGAGGAGGCTGGGAGGCGTTTCCGCTCCCCAGGGAGTGGGCCAGCGCCTGGCTGTTCTTGGCTCCTGGTTGGAGCCATTAATCTCGCAGCTGCGGGTGACCTGGATGCCTGGCATTCCAGAGCCCTGGGCTGTTCCGCTCAGGCCCGCCTCCTGTCGCTCCCTTGGTTACTCCCTTGGTTGCTCGCAGTCTTCACAGGGCTTTGGGGGGACATGGAGGTGAGGGGCCTCTCTTGCCCTGGCAAGTCCCCTCTGCCCCTCCCTCTGCCTTCCTGCCACCCACGCCCCTGCTCCTCCATTGGTCTCTCCTGTCCTCTTCCACCCTGACCCTGGCCACACACTTCGTGCTGAGGAGCTCTCCCCAAGATCCCCCAGGCCCTCAGTTTTATCAGGCTCCTAGTGGCTGAGGGTGACTGGGGTCTGAAGCCTCCTGGTCCCCACCAGGGCCTTAGAGGTTGTACAAGCCTGCAGGAAACTGCTGGAGGCAGACGGCTGGATCCCTCAGCCCCTCCCCTCCAAGGGCTGAGGAAACCAAAGCAGCTCTTCCTTGCTCCTCGATGTCCATTCCAAAGGGCAGCAGGGAAAATACAGAATCCTCAGGGAGGATGTCTCTGCTTGACCTCACTTCTCTGGGGTGGTCAGCCAGCACTAGGAAAGTGTGACCATTATCACCAAAGCCATCTGCTTTTCCTCCTAGCCAGGCCCAGCCCTCCCCCCACCACCCACCCTGGCACTGCCCCTCTGGGCAGACTCTTTCCCCGCACCCCCAATCTGCTAGACCTGCCCCTTGGGTGTGTTTCTTCTCTCTCTGAGCCCCAAGTAGTCCAGCTAGAAGATCGAACACAGTCCTACCACCCAGAGTCATGCTGAGGCTAGAGTGACGTCCAGGCCTTGTGTAGCTCTGCAAGCTGCAGAGCCCTGTGAACCCACATAGGAGGTGGGGGCCACTGTCTCTGAGTCTGGGTGCGCTGGCCCCCTCCACCCCCCTTCACCCCACTCACTGGGTGTTAAGCCAGCAGAGTATGAAAGGATCAATTTCAATATTATTGGACTTTCCCATCTCTTCCCTCCACGCCAAAGAATGAGGCCAGCCTGGGCCCAGTCTTCAAAAATCCAGAGTGAGCTGAGAGCTGACCTGGGTTGCCTCTGTGTCCTCCCTGCCCTGCCCCAGGGCCCTGAGTAAATGAATTGTCGCTTCTGCAGGCCAGGGTTCCAAGCCTATGTTCTTCTATTCCAGAACTTGTGCTGTCCTGTATGATAGGTATTAGCCATTTGTGACCCAAAGATTGAAAGCAGTGAATATCAAATAAAATTTAAAATGCAGATCTTTTGTCTTGCCACATTTCCAGTGCTCAGTAACCATGTATGCCTAGTGGCCACTGCATTACATGGCACGGTATAGGACAGTTTCACTAAGACAGAGAATTCCACTCAATCAGAGTCCTGCTTTGGGTTCATTGGGCTGGCCCTACAGCCCTGCCCACTTCTTGCTCTCCAGCAAGGCAGGCAGCATACTCACTCCTTGGGGTCCACCTGATTACCAAAGAGCAGGTGCATGGGAAGTGGATCGAAGCCTAGAGCATCAGCTAGAGGGCTCTGTGGTCTGGCTTGGGCATCTCCCAACCATTGGGGAGAGGTTCTCTGAGCAGAGTTCCTCTGGGCAATTACTAAGATGATTTAAAAGTCAGGATAGTTGGATCCTCAGATGCACATCTTTGGACCATAGCCATGTTCATTGTGCTGCATAGGTTGTGTTCCTTTGTGAGCCTGGTTATCCACATCTCAGTGGTTCCCCTAAACCATGAAAGGAAATGTGGTAATAGGAACCCCCTTTGGGTGGCTTGTAGGTGCAAATGCCTCACACCACAGCCAGGAGCTGCCTGGGCCTTTGGAGCCAGACCAACTTGGGTTCCCATTTGGCAGCACCATTCGCCTCTGTTTCCTCCCCTGTAAGTGAGGTGGAGGTCACAGATCCTATCTTGAGGGACTGGAGGATTCAGTGGAATAAGATGTATAAGTGCCTGGCTCATGTGGCAGCAAATGGTGGTTCTCTTCCCCCTTCCTTCATTCTCACCCTTTATCCTAAGCCTTTGTTTTCTCATCTGTATATGGGCATCACAGTTCCTATATGACCTGTCCCTAATCATCATGAGGTTCAAGGGGAATTGTGGCTGTGTTTTGGAAATGGTGACACCTGGCACAAGTGGACAGTGTTTGGGGCTGACATGTCCCAGCAGAGAGGCAGGGTAGCCCAGTTGTTACTGCAAGGGTCCTGGAGTTGGGCTCTGCCATTTATGTCTGACTCGATCTGAGCTTCCGTGTCCTCTCCCATGAAACAGGGTGCGTAACGGTACCCGACCCCTAGTGCTTTTGAGAGGATGGGAAGCAACTGCTCCTCCAGTGGTCAGCACACAGCCCAGCAGGCGGTGGGGCCAGCCAGGGAGGTCGCCATCACTGATGGAGCCCCCCCTCTCCCCGCAGGCTACGAGCAGCAGCAGGAGCAGGAGAGGCTGGAGCGGGAGATGGCACTGCTGCGCGGTGCCATCGAGGACCAGCGGCGGCGCGCCGAGCTGCTGGAACAGGCTCTGGGCAACGCGCAGGGCCGGGCGGCTCGAGCCGAGGAGGAGCTGCGCAAGAAGCAGGCCTATGTGGAGAAGGTGGAGCGGCTGCAGCAGGCGCTGGGGCAGCTGCAGGCCGCCTGCGAGAAGCGGGAGCAGCTGGAGCTGCGTCTGCGGACGCGCCTGGAACAGGAACTCAAGGCGCTGCGTGCCCAGCAGGTGAGCTGGGAAGACCTGTGCAGGTGGCAGGGCCAGGGCAGCATCTGAGCATGTCCGCTCACCTTCCTCCTCTCGGACTCCAGGGTTGGAGGGAGGTCAGGCCCAAGGCCCCTGGGAGCCCCTGCTCAGATCTAGGCCACGGCCCCTTTGGAAGGTGGTGAGGGTGACTGATCTCTGGTCCAGCTTTGCTGCATGGTCCCTCCCACTCACCAGTCTTAGCAGAGGCTCCGCCACTTGGCCCGTGTCCAGCCTCTGGGGACTCCTGTGCTCAGAAGCAGCAAGGCTTGGTGTCCTTGATCTCTAGAGAAAGTAGGTTAGGAACCTGATGTAAGAGATCAGCCAGCTCTTATATGTCTCCCCAAGATCAGGAGAGACGATGGTTGCTTAGATCCTGAGACTCTATCCTCACTTTGGACTTCTGTGTAAACAACTCTTGGTGTTTACAAACCAGAGTTCTGTCCCTACTCCCAACCCTCCCCGTCCCACAGAGGCAGAGTGAGCAAAGCTCCTGGTTTGCTCACTTCTGATCTAGTGTGCACCAGTTGTCCCAGTGTAAGTATTGATGGCAACTGCTTTCCCAGTGTGGAGAGTCCTTATGCCTTGGCCACGGGGCTCAGGGCAGGGGTGTGGGGACCCGTGCTGCTTTCTCTGTCTCAGGGTGGAGGCAGGATAGGGAGTATGTGATGTGGCGGGCACGGATCGGTGGCTGCCACACCACAAGCTTCAGCCTTGACCGTGGTGCTCCTTGCTCTGCAGAGACAGGCTGGCACCCCCAGTGGTGGCAGTGGCACCGTTGAGTCCCCGGAACTCAGCGCGCTGCGGCTGTCAGAGCAACTTCGGGAGAAGGAGGAGCAGATCCTGGCACTGGAGGCCGATATGACCAAGTGGGAGCAGAAGTATCTGGAGGAACGTGCCATGAGGCAGTTTGCCATGGACGCAGCTGCCACAGCCGCCGCCCAGCGTGACACCACGCTCATTCGACACTCCCCCCAGCCCTCACCCAGCAGCAGCTTCAACGAGGGACTGCTCGCCGGTAGCCACAGGCATCAGGAGATGGAAAGCAGGTTCGGCATTGCGGACCACGCCGGGGGTGGGGGTGGGGGTGACCCTGTCCAGTTCTTGCCCTGTTCTTGATCCCTGAAAAACAGGCCCCTCTCCCATACAGCTCAGCAGTCGCTCCTGCTCTGAGCTGACCCTGCATGTTTGGCACACCAGACAGTGTAAGCGTGCCCTTTCCCAACCAGCCGAGTCCTCGCTTAGCCTGGGAGACTGGCCGTGGGGTGTTGGATGTCGTCCAAGGCTCTGAGCCTCTAGATCCTGTCTCTGGGGTATTGCCCTCCAGGACAAGGGTTGTGCCACTGCTATCATCCAGTGACTCTAGGACCTACCCCTTGTTGAGCTGCCTTTGCTAGTTTGAGAAGGGCCCAGGGCCTCATACACTGGTCGTTTTCAGAACCTGGGCCCTAAGAGCATCAAGTTCCAGAGCTGTGATGACATTTCTGAAGGGCTACTCCAGGCCCTGCTGCAAGGGCAAGAGGGTCCAGCTGGCTGTAGGGAGGGCTGTTCCTCCAGATTGTACAAGGTAGGGGAGGGTGGAAACCCCTGGATCTGTGGGTCTAATGGGCATGGCCTGTCACCCCTCAGGTTAAAGGTGCTCCATGCCCAGATCCTGGAGAAGGACGCAGTGATCAAGGTCCTTCAGCAACGCTCCAGGAAAGACCCTGGCAAGGCCACCCAGGGCTCCTTGCGGCCTGCTAAGTCAGTGCCATCTGTCTTCGTGGCTGCAACAGCAGGACCCCAGGGCTGGCAAGGGCTCTCAGCTAGTGAGCGACAAGCAGATGCGCCTGCTCGGCTGCCTACAGGTGAGAGGAGGTTGGTGGGTAGATTATATAGTGAAGAAGTTTCTCCCGGGCATGAACACGAATGGAAGGTGGACTTCCTGACTCCTCTACCAGGGGAGTCCGCTTATACTCGTGACGCTATAGCCCACAGCTGTCCTGCCAGTGTGAAGAGGGGTGCTCAGCCTGTCATGTCCATAAATTCCATCACGCTTCGGCCCCAGCCACTTAACTATCTAAGAAAAATAGAGCTTCCTGTACAGATGTACCTTCTAGGCAAGCCCTCTCCACTCCTCCTTCTAAGCAGATACCACAGAAATTCTAGAAGATTTAATCTACAGAGAAGGGTTCCACCTGACAGTTATTCCCATTTGAAAACAGGAGCATTCAGTCTTAAAGTTGTCGCAAATCAAGAGCAACCCACATCCCCTTGAGTCCCCAGCAGGTACAGTTAGCTTAGGGTGCTCTTCATCAAGGCCACATCTTATAAGCAAGGCAATAACCATCCACCTCCTGCCTTTCCAGCAGACAGGGTGGCCACAGAGGAGCCAGGGGCCGCAGCTCCCCTGCCTGCCCATGCCAAACATGGGAGCAGAGATGGGAGCACCCAGACCGACGGCCTGCCAGACAACACCTCTGCCTGCCTGGCCCCAGAGCCCGACAGTCTTCTGGGGTGCAGCAGTGGCCAGAAGGCAGCCTCTCTGGGTAAGTCCCACTCTTCCCCCCCTGCTTTGGCGCTAGGCAGGGCAGAGGGCACGCTGGGGTGTGAACTGAACACCAGGCCCTTTCTTCCCAGACCTGCTTTTGGTCATTGGCCACACTCCCATGTGGAGCCCTACACAGTGAGAGCTGAGCAGAGTGTCTCGCCCTTCTCAGTGTGGACATGAGGCTGATTGGATGCATGAGTAGAGGAATAGAGACAGATCTAGAATTCAGAAAGAAAGCAACCGGGTGGGAGGCATTTTACTCCTCTTTCACAGTCTTCCTTATGTATTTAAATTGCCAAGGTGTATATCTAAGGGAATGGAGCTTGGCAAGGTTTCCTGATGGCACTCTCAAGTTAGAAGACTTTGTTTAAAAGGAGCCCGGGAAGGAGAAATTTGAGAAGATGCCATTTCTTTTTCCATCCCCCTTTAATACTGGCCTTTGCATACTTGCCTGTGCCTCACGATCTCTGGAAACCACAGGCATGAAAAGAATGCTGCAGCCTCCCTCAGGGCTCTCCGTCCTCCCTCCAAACCCTCCAACCTGTTCAAAGCAATAAACAAATGCCTCTTCCACATGGGAGGCTGGAGGTCTGGGCCAGTAGCTGAGAAGGGGGCAGGGCGTTGTGTCAGTAGCCAAGTTATGGGGACCTGGGCACCTGGGCAGTGGAGGTGGGGAAATTTGGTGAGAAAGATCCTTATCTTAAAACCCCCTCCAGGATTTTGAAAATAATCTGGTAACACTCGCTGGCATGTGCCTGTGTTCTTGTCTCTCTCCAGACTCTGTAGCTACATCCAGAGTCCAGGATTTACCAGACATGGTGGAGATACTGATCTGAAGGAGACGGTGCTGGGGACTCTGAGCCATTCCCTCCCCTCCTCGGGCCGCTGCCACTCTCGGCCATTCCAGCAGCTGTTCTCCCACTTTCCCCAACCAGACTCTAGTTCCCACTGACCCGTCTGGTCCTGGGAGCTCAGGAACAGTACTGCAGGGGAGAGGAGAGCTGTGAGAGTACCAGCACCCCAGAACACTCTGCTTCTCCGCCCATATCCCTTCCCGGCCCGTGGAGAATGAGGATTCAGCCTTTACCTGTTGCCTAAGGCTTGCTGCTGGGGTAGCAACTGAAAGCTCAGAAAGGAGCTGCCCCTCGCCTCACCCGTTGGTACTCAGACAGGGAAGGAGGGGATATTTGGTCTGGAGGACTGACTTCCAAGGATGGCTGCCCATGGACACCAGGGCAGCTAATCGAGTTCAGCATGTTGTTCTCTGGCCAAGTACGATCCAAGCTGACCTCACCTGCCCTTCAGTTCCTCACTGCCTCCTTGCAATCACTAAGACTTGAATCTCTTGGGGACTAGCGGGGGTGTGTGTTCTGCAGAAGCCACTGCCTGATGCTCTCACTTGGTGTGGGTTAGCGGTCATCTGAGTGGGATACTGCGCAGTTTGTATATAATTCCCCTTCTCGTGGAACAGAAGATTGAGGCGTGCTGGTTCAGATTCGTCTCCTCGGCTGTGCTCTCCTGTCCCTGCTGCCGCAGTTCCTGAAACTCCTGCCTGACCTCCCAGTTATTCCTCCTTCTCAAGTTCTTGGCCCATGGATTTTAATGCTGCTCGATTCACGGGAGACTGGCTGCCTGTTCCTCCATCTTGAGCCCTGTGTGAAATGCCCATGGGACCCCCATCACCAGCCTTTTGAAATGGCTCCACAGCTCCTGTCCCTGGGACATCCGCCAGTTTGGTTCTAAACCCTGAGCCAGATGAAATGAGCCACCACACGCGGACATCCGCCACACCCTATGTGGGCTTGGGTGGCGCTACCCAGTACCAGTTCTCTCTGAGGAAACTGGAGAAGTTGTGTTGCTCTCATAAGTGTTTTTGTTCCTACCGGAGGGATTGGGAGAGGGAGCTATGCTGTCGACAACTGGCTAAATGACCTAGGAGATAGGACTCAAACAGTCCCCTGAATGGAGCCCGCATCCCAAAATGGCGCCCATGAGGCTGGCTCCTCACGCCACCCAGGACCAGGGCCCTGAAGCAAGGACGGATGTTCTGGAATCGGGGTGAAGCGCCCACATGGCAGCCTATCAACAGCAGTGACTGACTTCTAGTCCTAACGAGTCCCCCGATTTAGCCCCAGGAGCTATTGGTGGGTTTTAGCAGTTTTGTCTTCACTGTTTTTAGATCTCCTAGAATCTTTGTTGTTGTTTTTATTTTTTTCCTTTATTGTTTTTAGGTTCTGTATGTGTTGTTTTATTCCCATGGTTCCTCAAGTTTCCTTTTTTAAACATTTGCATTTGCTGGACAATTGCATATTTTTTTAAAATTCCCCTACCCCTGTTTAAAGCTGAAAAATACATTTGGTTCATGTGCATTGTTTACAAAGCAAAAAGAAAAAAAAAGAGAAAAAAAGGCAAAAAATATTGTGAAAGAAAAAAACCAACTTAATATATTTTGGATTAATATTTGGTATTTCATTTAAAGTATTTTTTGTGCTGTGAACGTTTTCTGCCAAAGATCTTGATGTCCGTCTGTATGTTTAAGTTATCGTAAATATTTAAAATGTAAACATGGCTGTTTTGTTATGCCACCCCGTACCAGGATTGCTGCTGCATTCCACTGGGTATAACAGTATTTTAATAAAAAAAAAATAATTAAAAGTGGTGTCTTTGCACTGAGGGAAAGAGGGAATGTGGATTTGGGGGGGCCACCCATGTCATAGTCCGACCTCTTCAAGGACCCAAGACAAGCTCCAGGAATTTTGTGAAGTTGCATTAAGGGGAGAGTTGGAATGAGGATGTGGTTGGCTTTTTTCCAAAGAACACTTTCTTCTACAGAAAACATTTCTGGGAGGCGGGGAGGGCAGGGAGGGCCTGGCAGGTGGCAGCTTCCCCAGGTAGCTTTGTCCTAATCAGCTTTGTTTGGCCACATGCTGTGGTTGCTACACAGTGGGAGTGGGTGTCCAAAGGTGGCTTTTTCCTTCCCGCATTCCTGTCCTCCCCTCCCACCCAGCACACAGTGTCCTTTTCTGTAACCATCCAAAGGACCAGGCACCATGCCTGCCCTCTGGAATGCACAGAGGAAGCTCAAGTGTGTGGCATGTTTGGGGCACTGCCTCCCTCTGCTGTACCATTGCCACTCTTTCCCGATGCTCAGGAAAGCACAACACTCCAATCCAAAAGAAGAGAAAACCATTCTCAATCTTGCATGTTCTAGTGTCAGAAACAAAGCCCTTGCTTCTCCAAGTGTGTTGGGACACGGAGGTTCCCAGTTAGGATGTGGCCGAGGCAGCCCACCTGCAGGCTATGGGGCTTGTGATCAGAACAGTTGCCCTCCATGGCCATAGGTGAAGGGTCTTCAGGGCAGGTGTGGGAACTCAGCAGCCACATGGATGAGTAACCAAGCTGGGATCCTAGAGAAGGTGTCCCTGAGCCAGCCTGCCTGCCCACAAGAAGGGAATCGGGCAGATGGAAGAACTGGGAACATCCAAAGACTTTACTGGCAACTCTGCAGATGCCAAGGGGGCCTAGTGGACAGGCAGCTCTCCATGCAAGACTCCCCACATAGTGCAATGCAGGGGGATCAAACCCACCCCGTGGCCACATCTCCACCCAGCCCTCCCACCTGCCACCTGCCACCTGGGCAGCTTCCATGCCTGCCTTCCTCCCACTGAGCCCTGGACTGGGTCTCACTCTGTGGTGAGGTTGCTCACCTGAGATACCAGGCTGGTCCCTGGAGGCAGCCTGGACACTGGGGGTCCTGCCCCCACATAGCCCTTTACTGTTCCTTCCTGGGCCATACCAGCCCACGGCTACATTTGCTAAGACTTGGTGTTCAGAACAACATGTCAGTGCCTGTGGCAGGGAGTTCCAAACAACAGCTCAGCAAAGAGGCTCCTGTTCAGCCCCAACTGCCCCTGCCCCCTCCGCCCCCTCCCCCACCACAGAGCGCTGGGAGGGCAGCTCAGACCCAGGAACGAGAAGCACCATCCACCCAGCACCTTCAACCAAAGCTTTCAGAGCATCAGTGCCTTCTGTGGGATCTAGTCTGTCACAAGTCACTTTTATGTTTCCTTGGCACAGACCAGAGGGGGATGAGAGATCGATCCCAATGTGCACACACACGTACAGGCATGTGCATTTGTGTGTGCATGTGTGGCTGACCCTGTGTCCCAGAGAAAGGTGTGAGGGGCACCAATGTCTTTGGGTTGGTGCCCCTGCAGGGCACCAGGCTCTTCAGCTACGTGGTCACCAAAGCGTCTGGGAGCCATTTACCCTCAGAGAAGGGGTTGAGTGAGCCGCCCAGTGCACACTGAAACGCAGCCTCAGCGAGCTCCAGAACTGCTGCAGCTGCAGGCCGTGGGGGAGGGAGCTGTTTGCCCCATGGCTCTGCTGAGCCCTTTGGGGGTCAGGTTTGGCTTTGAGGGGCAGCCCTAACCTGCCTGCCCTGCCCCCACCCAGTACCACCTCCAGCAGGGCTGGGGGTGGGGTGGGGGGCTCGGAGGGGTAGCCACTGCCCCAGGGGCTGAGAGCAGCAGGGAAAGGCCTTCTCCTCTCTCTCACCTCCTGGTTAGTTGTCAACTCCTCCCTGGCTTGAGCATGTGCCAGGCAGCTTGGCAAAAATGTGCCAAGACAGGAGCAGCAAACTAGGGCACGGTCACCCAGAGACAGCCAAAGCCATTTCACTGCCCCTGAGGATCCTTAGCTGGGCAGGAAACCTGTTTGCAGTGCCGCTGTCTTGTCTCCTAGCACAAGTGAGGACCCTGCGGGGAAGAAGTTATCCCTGAACAGCCCCCCCTGGATGTTACTGACCCCTCTGGAGGTGGTGCGGAAACCCCAGCACCAAGCAGTGCCTTTGTGGACCCACCATGCCTGGATCCAACACATGGGAAAAACGCTACAGCAGCTGAGCTCTCAGCATCCTCTTTTAAATGAGACAGAATTCACATACCACAAAATTCACCCTTTTGAAGTGTACAATTGGGTGGTGTTTTATATCATAGCATCCACTTTGAGCCAGTGGTCAACCACGGGTCATCAGCACATGCCCCACCAGTGGGCCACATGAGCATGGTTAGAAATGCTATTTGATCTGAAGCATTCACACTTGTCGGCTCCAATTTCCCAGGATGGCGCTTTGAACTTTCTACAGCTGAGTCTCCTCCCCCCTTCCGGGGTCCGGCAGCCCCATTGCACCTCCACTGGGCAGCAGCAAAGACACTGTCCGCTCTGAGCTAGGCCTCTCTGCCAGCTTGCCCCCAAAGCTGCCAGGGCAGAGGTCCTGGCCTGAGATTTAAGAAGGGGGCCTGTGAACCCTGAGCCCCAAGGCACCCACTGTTTCCTCAAGGTTTACTGGAGTCAAGGAGCATTGGCAGGCCTGAGTCCAGTTTTGTGATACCTATATAATTTTGGAGACCTTCTTTAAGGAAAAGAATGCAAAATTGTGACTACAAAATTAGGTCTAGAGTTTTGGAAGGGGCCTGTTGACATGAGCACCTGCAGTTGCAAGCTTCATTAACTTCACAGTACGCATGGGTCCATCCAGGCATTGGGCATCATGTCTCCCCATAGGAATGGGGCTCTGGGAAGTGCCTGTGACTCAGGTTTCCCCTGTCTCTGCTAGGCGAGGCTTGGATCTGGAGAACAATGGAGCAGATGGCATGGCCGCTTCTGGGAATCCACTATACCCAACCCCCTCTTGAGGCACAGGTGCTCACCAAGGGGGTCTATAATCCAGGTAGAAGGGTGTCACTACAGAGGCTGGACAATAGGACTGACCAGCCCACCAAGGACCAAACCCATAGATGACATCCATTTGTACCGTGCCTGTCCCCACCAACCAAACCTCCTGCCCCAGCTGGAATGGGAGTGGAATGCATCTGTCAGTCAGCTCTCAGGGTGCTCTGGAGAGCCATGCCACTCAGCTGTAGCAAGGACACATTCTCCTTTACTCTGAGGGCCTGTCTGTCAGCTTTCAATTGTGAGACAGCCAAGTGTCATAATCTGTCCTGAGATAAATGTCTCTTGCAAGTCCAAAGGCTCCTACCTGGGGACACATTCCAGGTGTGTTGAGTAACAATGTGGTCATTTCCATGCACAGGTTTGCCTCTTCTTGCATCAGTTTGGCCTTCTTCTTGAGCTCTAAGAGGCCCTGCCCAGTCTCTCCTCTGAAGCTTTTGCTTGCTTAACACAATGAATGCACTGTGGAAATCTTCATAGCCTATTGCATTAGCAGCAAAAATACCCAAATCTCAACCACAGAGAGATTAACTGTGCAAATCACAGCTAAAGTTTGCCCTGAAAACTTTAATAACCTTCTTTAATTTAAAAAGAAAGAAAGGCTGGATGCAGTGGCTCACACCTGTAATCCTAGCACTCTGGAAGGCCGAGGCTGAAGGATCACTTGAGCTCAGGAGTTCCAGAGCAGCCTGAGCAAGAGTAAGACCCTATCTCTACTAAAAATAGAAAAAAATTAGCTGGTGTGGCACCAGCTAATACCTGTAGGCACGTAGTACCTGTAGGCACGTAGTACCTGTAGGTACCTGTAGGTACTACGTGCCTGTAGTCTCAGCTACTCTGGAGGCTGAGGCAGGAGGATTGCTTGAGCCCAGGAATTTGAGGTTGCTGACGCCATGGCACTCTATCCTGGGCAACAGAGTGAGACTCTGTCTAGATAAATAAATAAATATATAAATAAAAAGAAAGAAAGAAAAATAGGCCTCCTTCCCGGAGGCTTTTCTCTAAGGTTTTTCTGCTTCAGCATGGCTGACTTTTTCCTCCCCGTGCTATTTCTCTGTAAGTGGTTATGCCATCTCATCATTCATTCATTCATGTTACAGATGTTTATTGAGTGTCTGCCATGTGCCCAGAACTGTGGTGGGCACAGAGTGTACAGTGATGAATAAGGCAAAGTGTGTGTCCAAATGCCTTTACAGTCCCATCATTGATCTGATCTTAGTACCCCAGACCAAGCCAAGCACAGGGGTGCACACAAGCACTGGACAGACGAGTGTTCTGGACCAGGACTGGCCCCCATCTGCCTCTCTGGCTCCGGATTCCATCAGCCTCCTGCGCACGCACAGCCATACGCACAGCACAGCGGAAGGGTGGCCTTGGGAGCACCGTGGCCTCTCTCACCTCCAGGCCTTTGCACGTGCCATTCCTTCTCTCTGGAATGCCTTTCTCATCTCTTTTCTCCTCCAGCTTGAACACCACTTCCTTCCGGTAGTCTCTCCTCTCCAGCTTCCTTTATGTTCTCATAGGACCATGAGAGGGAGGAGAGCTGGGACTTGCAGACTAGAGCAACCTTTGCTAGCAGACATTAGTCTGTGGTTCTGCTTGGGTGAGAAGGCACCGCAGGTAAGCAGACATAACTGACCTTTTCAATTATACAGGGATTTATTCTCATCGCTGCACTGGAGTCACAGGTGGCCCTGAACACTGCTCAGACAGTGGCCACTTCGGATATTTTGATCAGGGTGCCTGAGCCCCTCCTTGTTGGCCAGACCCGTCCGCCCCTCCCCCCTCCATTCACTGGCAGAGGGAGAAGATAAAAGGAACTCTGGTAGGTGGAGTCTTCAGGTCAGAGAAGGAGAAGGGGAGCCGGAGGGCTTAGGCTGAGGTGGAGAGGAGTGGATGCGCAGGTGTGTGAGCTGGGAACCAGCTCTGCTGGATG